GAAGCTACACTTTTGTATTAGTACCTACTCTTTATTTAAGTTAAAGGTGCGTTAAAAATATAAGTTGTTGACAAATAAAGCAAAACTAAATATTAAAAAAAAGGAAATATGTGTAATTAACATGGTTACAAGAATATAATTGAAATAAAGTTTCAAAATAAAACTCTTTCAATTATTTGTTTTTGTACGTTACTTTATGCCAAAATAATATAGACAATTTTATGATACGTAATGTGTACAATACAATCTTTGTTAAGATATGGGTTGGTAAACCTGGTTAAACTATTCCGGTGTTTATAATGTAGTTTTATTTTTTATGCCACTAATTAAATCGTGTTAAAACTTCCAAGTAGCTCCGAACTTGCATTTTATAAACTACACAAGTTAAAGAGAATTCATGTTATTTTCTTCTTAATATGTGTACCCACAGCTTCTAATGCCTTCGGCGGCACCACCTCCTCCTACCTCGTGTTGCGACTCGAGCCGTCCTGATGCCCATGGTCAAGGGACGGCAGTGTGCTGTCCGCTGGACAGAGCAGCCCTACTGCACGGACGGGTACCTGGTTTACCGGCACTCTACACATCTCCATATGCTGAACAAGGCCTGATGCATCTCGCAGCAGACCCATCGGCGTTTTACTCACCGTTGGTAAGATATTCTTTATTGCCTTGATTATTTAAAATCTTGAAGTTCAATACCGGTTGTATTTTTCTAATATATACTGTAAGAGTTATAAGCAAGGAAAATATATTAACTTGAGCTGTACAAGTATATCAATTTCTAGGCCTAGCAATCAAATGATCCCAAATCGCGATTGTTTACTATTCAGTACCGTATCCCATGTACTTAATGTGTTCATAACAAAGTTAACTATGTCCATACCCATGGCAGTGCATACAAACAAGTGTAATGATTAGCTGTTTATTTGAATTCTTCTCAGATATATGAGCCTCTATATTTACATATATAATAGTATATTTACTGTAATAGTATTGAGAACTTATCAGCTAATACTGAAACACCATATACATATACTATTATACATATACATAAGTATAAAGTGTATATATATACAATATATATATATATATATATACACTATATATATATATAAACGAAACTTGTTACTGTGGTGTTTAAAATCTATACAAGAAGTTATTGTCAATAATTGTCATTGATACTGTTGTGTTTATATAATGTTTAATTAAGCATTCTTATAAATACAAATCATTTGTAATTACACTCTAACATAATGTCAGTAAGGTTTTTTTTACGTAAAGTAAAATGTGTCTTGTGTATGAATTAAACAACATTGATATTCACTTTATTTTACATTTCACTTTCTGAGATCATGGAGATAAATTATTAGATATTATGCTATAATAAGTACTGTACTTAATAACGTACATTTCTGATTCAAATAGCTATTTCAAATAATTGTTCAATGTGGAGCGAACTTAAACAAAAAGTTTTAGACAATCCGTATTAACGTGGAGGAAAATTACTTAATAATGTTTAATATTAGGCCCTATAATTCGTGGTATAACCAAAGCAGTTACCGATAATGCAATGTTTAGAATGTTCATTAATGAAGTGCGAGTCTAGTTTGTGATGCAATTTGACGATATTTCATGGGTAATTTGGAATATCTGTTTGTTATTAACTATGGACGATTGATGTTGGTTTCTCGCGTGTGGCATCAACATACATTAGCAAGTTAGCTGACTGTGAATATGCCTACCTTACTGTAGGTGGTGTCAAATAAATTCCAGTCGCTAAAATGCCATTGATACTGTTGTGCTTATATAATGTTTACTTAAGCATTCTTATAAATACAAATCATTTGTAATTACACTCTAACATAATGTCAGTAAGGTTTTTTTTACGTAAAGTAAAATGTTTCTTGTGTATGAATTAAACAACATTGACATTCACTTTATTTTACATTTCACTTCCTGAGATCATGGAGATAAATTATTAGATATTATGCTATAATATATACTGTACTTAATAACGTACATTTCTGATTCAAATAGCTATTTCAAATAATTGTTCAATGTGGAGCGAACTTAAACAAAAAGTTTTAGACAATCCATATTAACGTGGAGGAAAATTATTTAATAATGATTAATATTAGGCCCTATAATTCGTGGTATAACCAAAGCAGTTACCGATAATGCAATGTTTAGAATGTTCATTAATGAATTGCGAGTCTAGTTTGTGATGCAATTTGACGATATTTCATGGGTAATTTGGAATATCTGTTTGTTATTAACTATGGACGATTGATGTTGGTTTCTCGCGTGTGGCATCAACATACATTAGCAAGTTAGCTGACTGTGAATATGCCTACCTTACTGTAGGTGGTGTCAAATAAATTCCAGTCGCTAAAACCAGGCTTTCACTGGTAATAGCAAGGAAAAGCCAAGTCAATTATTCTGTTAGACTAAACATTATCTCTCGACATCAGTTTCTTTACAGTAAATTTAAACTGATAAAAGTTCTTACTTTTTGTTTTAATATCAACTGAATTAACTGTCGATCATGGCTACCAAAATATCTGTATACAAAACATTTTCTGTTGAGGATTTCGAGTGTGTTAAACCACAGAATACGGTAATTCACCAACTTGCTGTATTGTATATCAACTTTCAAAACTTCCACTGACCAACAATCATTTGGTAATTTTCTTATAGAACGCAGCATTTACTGATTTGAAGAACAGTTCGGCAGATGCCTGGTCGGCAATACACCAACCCACGGCTTGCTACCCATATGATCCCACCACATACCCATATTACGCGGACAGGTAAGGATGATCAACTTTGTATTCCATAATAGAAAAGTTAGGCCAATAATTATCTTCTCTATGCTGGCCATTTAAACAACCGATACATTTCAACTACTGTTAGGCCTACGTGCCTTCTTTAAGTTTATATGATAACGAATACAGTACCTTGTAGGCCAACATACACATTATATCATTAAATATCTACTGTATAATGCTTTGTATACACTCTAAACGTTTATGTCTATTACGTTGAAAATAAAAATATGCATGTATTAAGGATGTGGCACGACATACGACACCAGTGTTGTGTATTAATTTGCCTCCATAGGAAGTATTGTATTAGCAATGTATATACTCAGACTGGAAAGAAAATCTAACGTGCTACTTGAAAAAGTTTTATATCAAAACAATTAAAAAGCCCTATATATATAT